GGGCCAAACTTGGTGAAGAGCATCCGCAGACGCTGACTTCGATGAACAACTTGGCTTCGATGCTGCAGGCCTCGGGCGGGCCTTTTCCCGAACTTCAGACCGAAGGGTGCAATGGGTCCAATGGGTGAGGTCTTGAGAAGAGCGGTGGGCCAAACTGAAGCCCCACATTCCAAGCTAATTAGTTCCAGAGCTGTGCGTACGGTTGGATCTGCGCACCCGGTCTGCACAAGTCCAACATTTCGAGCTTCTTCGTTCCATCTAGAATCTAGAACTGTTCGAACGATTCGATCTGGCGCACACCCCGAGCCGCACAACTGGCACCAGGCTGCAGGATCAAAGGCGCCATGACGAAGCCGAGCCGTTGCATCGACAGGCACTAGCGGGTAGCCGCCTCCTCAGTCGGCGAGAGGTGTCAGAGTACTGTCGGGTCTTTGAGTCATCGGCTTCCTGGGAAGCGCGGCGAAGACAGTGAATTTCATGGGCTTGCGAATTGAAGTTGGATTGGCCGTGCTTCGGGGGTCTTGCAGGGGTTGTGGTACGAGAACTTGGTTTCTTGTGGGCCATGCTGCGCTGCCAGCGCAGGAGGTTCTGGTATTTTTAAAGAGGCTTTCTTGATGGGGCACACCATGCCGGCTAGTTTGTTTGAGACGCACTTAGCACGGTAAAGCGGCCCTGTCCAGCCGGTGATGGAAGCAGCATGATGCGACCTTGCACCAAAACCAGGAGGGTTGGTTCTGCTAATCGGATCGTTGTGTCGAAGCATGCCATTCCTTTCAGTTTTGGCAGCTGTGGGGACTGACGCAATGGTTTGATTGCCCCGCCCGTCCCACCAGACTGTAACTATTCTGTCTCCAGATATCTCCAGATGCAACTCGGAAAATGGTTAATAATATATTGAAGCATTAGACCAGGACTTCGTGGAGACCTGTAGGTAGGAAGTACAAACATGCCCCATTCAATCCCTCTGACCGCGGGGGCCGAGGCCGGGCGAGGAATGGGGACTCCCACCCGCATACGATGATCAGCATGCACAACTTGGCCTACTTGTTGAGGGCGATGGGCCAGTTGGAGGAGGCAGAGCAGCTCTTCCGCGAAAAGCTCGAGCAGTGCGGCTCGGCCTTCACTGGGCACTGAGGGTCGCGTTGCTTCGACGAAGTCGTGTCGGAGTGCAGGTCAATTTGTGGGGGTCGAGACAAGTCGCGACTTTCCGTTGTTGTCCCTCTTAACTGCTATTTTAACCCTTTACAGCAGCACTTTTCAGGTCGGTCTGTCCACGGCGCCCAACACAAGGAGACCATCGACTCGGCCAGGAGCTTGGCCAAGTTCCTGAAGGACCCGTCCTCGATTCTCGAGTCCGGCTGAAGGCAGGTTCAGGCCTCCGCATCCTCTCTACAGAGCATGTCTCTCTACGGAGCATCCCTACAGATCCAATATGTATCCGTGAAGTAATGGTGGAGTTGAAAAGTAAGCTTTCGATGCTCCAGGCTTGTCTTCGGCTACAGTGTTCTGCCGTGAGGTTCTGTAGTCTTCAGCAGTTGATCCTAGGCCTTCGAATCGGACCGAGGTTCCGGAAGCTCTTGTAGCCATTCAGCCTCGGACACCGGTCGCAGCGGTGAACTTTAACCCTGCCAAGCATTAAGAATGACCGTGCATTGTAAATGCGCCCGTGCGTACATTGAGATGTGCCCAGCTAGCACGATCGGGCTTTCAATGCCAGGCTCGTATACATCACATCTCACAAGCTCAATACTGGCTGGAAGCATCTTGAACGCGACGGTGTGTCGTCTGTAGATGGTATGGATCTCCGAAAAAAGGTGCTGGATCCGAGTCATGGACTGGAGGTCGCCATTCGGCCCCCAGTCTCAACAGGCTCTTAGGACCACGCCGACTGTTTCCGAAGTGCTCGAGCTTGGGCCGAGCGGAATAGTCCAAGAACACTTTATATGCCTATGCTGCTATAGCCATTATAGCTACCTATCTGCTGCTGGTGGCTTCTGTTAGCAGTTCTTGACAACATGTCGGGTTGCCACAGATGGGCTGAAGAGCGCGGCGGCGCTTTGCAAGCGAGAAATCTAGCTATTGGTGCAGTCCAGCACAGTCCAGAGTCAGGCCTCAAAGGCCCCAAGCAGTGGCGCGGGCCGACATTATGACAAGCATGGCTTCGCATGTTTTGCATTCCGTACACATCGCTTTGAGCCTTTGGCTCTCCCTATATATCTCTTACTTCCTAAACCCTAAACCCCTAAACCCTAAACCCTCAACCCTAAACCCTAAACTCCTAAACCCTACACCCTAAACTTCACGTGGGCTTTGGCTGCGTCTGAAGCCCGCCGACGCCTCAGAAGAGGAGCTGGGCCGGGAGACGGAAGCGGAGGAGCTCCTCGCTGGCATCTCCTGAC